ACTCACTCACTCATTCATTCATTCATTCATTCATTCATTCATTCATTCATTCATTCGATTTATATGCCCACCCATCTCAACAAGTCATCTCAATAAGTGACTTGGGACTCTCAATCTTCTACCTGAATGAGAACCATTCAGAAATCTCATGTCTCCCCACCTTTTCTAGAGGCTAAAGATGCCAACTGTTCTGCCTAACTTCCAAAAGGAACTCAGCCAATATCTGGCACAGAAGTCCTGAATCCAGCCAGTTCACACTCTGCCCATGTGCAGAGTTCTTTTCTTCTTGGGGATTCGTTCTCACATCCTGGAGCAAGAGGCCTGACCTGAAGCAGTTCCTAAGTCTGGCTCAGTTTAAACCAGGGTTTCTCAACCTTGGCAACTTGAAGATGTGTGGACTTCAACTCCCAGAATTCCCCAGCCAGACAAGAATGGCCGAATCCCTTTTCAATTCAATTTTCAGACACAGTTTACCTCGTGTAAAAAGAATCTATTCTCTTGCTACTGACTGTTCAGTTCAGTTTTGAACATTTCCACAGTACACTAAGAAAGTAAGCTTTTGGGCTGAAGGATTTTTTTTTCAAGGAAATGTAGAAATAGTTCTGCAAACTTTGAATTTCTCCTGAGGTTTCTCCTGAAACCTTCTTTCCTATTTAGGAACGGTATAATTTAAGAATGGTATAATCTTCACTATGTACGAGTCAACATTGACTATATAATATCAGAAACAGAGACTTATGAATAAATCAATCACCAAATACACTGGTTTTATACAAGCTTAATTTGGTTCTGGAAGGAATCCGTTTTCTGGATCTGCACCTTCAGTTGAACCCCGAATTATCCAAGATTGTTTGATGACAGATATGACACCCCATCACTAACCCAAGTTAAAATTAATAACACATCAGCAGTTGTGCCAACGTTGCTCCACACACTTTCGCTGACCTGGCTAAATGTGGCGTGCAAACCCAGATGTGGGTTGATAGAAAATTAACCCAGATGTGCACAGTTATTCAAAGGCTAAATATTTAAATTGAGGGGTAGGGCTTCCATTCTATTCTTTGGAGAGGTTGGGGGGTGGATTTCCGAAAAATTGGAGAGGAAGCCACAGGGTCCTGCCCGGGCTTGTCAACAACTTTGCTCCAATGGTTCTGTAACTTATTTCTTGTTGGCTAACCAAGCCCTGGAAAACAAGGGGAAGGAATTGGAAGGGTGGTACAAAAAAGTGCAAAAGAGAGGAAGGTGCACAAGAGGGGGAGCAGGAAGAACGGGCTGGGCGTTCTCTCCATGGGCTTTGTTAAGGCTGCGTTCCAAGACAAACATCTTCCATTATTTGTGTCAAGGATTTGCAAGTCCCTGTTTTTCGGCATGAGGTTCTGAAGTCCCAAGGAGGTAGATTTGCAATGGCAAGATTGGATCTAGCTGGCTTCTCCCATTGCCAGGATGGCTGTTCTTTGGCTACCAGCCTCTTTCACCATGCAGTGAGGCATGGTGGACAATTAAATGGATGACTTGGCAGCACAGATCTTTCAGTCTAGATCTTTCACCCTGGGGATCTTGATCTTTCAGCCCAGATCTCTCACCCTGGGGATCTTGATCTTTCAGCCCAGATCTCTCACCCTGGGGATCTTGATCTTTCAGCCCAGGTCCTTCACCCTGGGGATCTTGATATT